GGCTGCCAGAAACAGAGCCGGGCCTGCAATCTGCTCAGCCCATGGCCAGGGAGCAGAGCAGGGAGCCCTGAGCCAGTGTGGGCCTCACTCAGCTGGCAGCCAGAGAGCCAAGAGCCTGGCCACAGCCAGGGACACAGCTGTGGGCACAGGCTGCAGCAGGAGAACTGCACAGCCTTGGGGGCAGCTGGGGCTCTTGCTTCCAGCCACTGATGGGGCCCAGCAGAGCACCAGGCCTCTGCCGGACATCGGGAAACAGCCACACACCTGCCAGCCCTGCCCTTGGGAGGGGACACTGTCCCCACCCTAGAGGCCACAGGGGTGGCCCTGCACTCACACAAAAATCTTCTGAGGTTCCTTTTGTGTTCATTCTTGGTTCCTGATATGCCCTGGGGAGCCAGGGGCTCTCTCACACTCCCATCACTGGTGCAGAATTCATTCTCCACATCTGCACTCACTGCACACTCACAAGTGGCATCCCCCTGCTTATGCCAGGTGGCTTCTTGGGCCCCAGGCAGGTGTGGAACCGCGGCTGCTGGTCCCTGCTGGGGATGCTGATGCTCATTCGCAACTGCACGAATGGAGCAGAGTTCACTCTCCTCCTGCTCACAGCCGGCATCTCTCTGCCTGGAACAATCAGTACTTTGCTTCGGAGACATCAGGAGTGCTGCTGGCAGATCCTTTGGGAGCTCGGCCTCGGGAACAGCTTCACAGCCGCGCTGATGGCACCCTGAAAGGGACACGGGGAGAGGTCACTGCTGGTGCCGGCGCTGGGGGCTCAGGAGGGCGGTGCCAGCCGTGGCTGCGCTGTCCCCGCTGCCCAGAGGTGCGGCAGCAGCTGCGGAGACAAGCGCAGCCTCCGGGAGCTGGGGCAGCACCGACCGCGGGTGGCGCCTGGCCTGGAGCCGCCTCCGAGCTCCGCCGCCGCCTCGCCGGGCTCCGGGTGCCGCCCCCGCTGGGGAATGACCCGAACGCTCCGCCCGCCGCCCCTCCCATCCCGGCCGGGCTCCGCGGGCACTCGGGCTGGTGCCGCTCTGCGCTCACGCTGCCAGGGCACTCGGGCTGGTGCCTCAGCACAGAGCCCATGCGGGAGCGGCTTTTGGCCCATTTGACCGATCTGCGTGCGGGAAAGCAGCGAGGCGGGGTGAAGAGTGGGGGACAGGGGAGCAGCGAGCGGGCTTCGAAAGGCAGGGCGCTTCATGGAAATCACGGGAGCCCTTTTGCTTTCTTGTACCAAAGCGACTCCCGGTGCCTCCATTGGGAGCCAGAGGCAGGGGCATATTCAGAAGCAGAAGCCACGCCAGCAGAGCAGTCAGGTCACTCCTGTCCTGCAAAAACCTTGCTAGGGAAAAAGGGCCCCACTCTGTTGAAGCTGGTCGAGAACCGCAGCCCCGGGGAAGCCGCTCCTGGGGCTCTCAACAGTGAATGACAGCAGGGATTCTTGGAGTGAGCCTGGCCAGGTGCCCGGTGCCACCAAAACGGGCGAGTTCCTTGTGCCGAATTCCCCCATGTCCCCCCCGGCCCTCAGCGCGGCCCCTCCGCCCGCAGCGAGCCCCGAGCTGGGGCAGCACCGACCGCGGCTCCCACCTGGACTGGAGCCGCCTCCGAGCTCCGCCGCCGCCTCGCCGGGCTCCGGGTGCCGCCGCCGCTGCGGAACGGGACAAACGCAATGACCCGCCCGCCGCTCCGGTCCCGGCACACTCACCCATGCGGCTCCGCGGGCGCTGCCGCTGGTGCCACCGCTCCCCGTCAGAGGCGGGCTCGGTGCCGGCGGGGTTTCGGCTCAGTTGCTGACGGCAGCGATCCCGAGCGCCACCAGCAGGGAAAGCAGCGAGCGAGCGGGGCGGGAAAGCGTGGGGCGCACCGCGGGGGCACCGAGGCTCCGGTGCCCACAAAAGCCGTGCAAGGACTAAAGTCCCCAGGCCACTGAGGCCGGAGAAGAAGCGCAGCCCGGGGAAGCCGCTCCTGGGGCTCTCAACAGGGAATTCTCGCAGGGATTCTCGGGCTGGGCTGGGCCGGGCCAGGTGCCCGGGGCCAGCAAAAGCGCTCAGTGCCTCTGCTCCTGCCCCTGGGCAGGCAACAGAACACAGCAGGAAAGGCTCGGGGCTCTCAAGAAAGGCAGCCAGAGATCTCTCACCCATCATGGGCAGAACAGGCCCAGAATGGGGAAATTACATTTAATTGAATTTATTATCAAACAAATCAGAGCAAGAGAATCAGTAGGCTGCCAAATCCTAAAAATGCACCTTCTTGACACTGTTCTCTCCTTCCTGGGCTCCACTTTATCCCCGATTCTCAGATTTCAATGGCTGGGATGCAGCACAGGAGGAATCGCAGCGCCCTCCGTGCCCGTGGCCAGCACGGCTGGGACATTCCCTGCTCCACTGCCCTGCTCACACTGCAAGGGGGCTCTGGCTCTGCACTGGGGACACCTCCCACCCAGAGGCCACCAGCTGTGGGCTAAAGCTCTCGGTGCCATGCCTTGGAACACGGTTTGCTTCGTTAAAAGCACAGGCTCTCCGTGGATGTCTTGCTTAGCGACAGTCACTGGCAATGCAGCAGTAATGGCTCTTAGTGGTTTGGGCTGAATTGCTGCTGGAGTGCTGCAAGCAAGAGCTGAAGCTGTCAGCTCTTGGTTACAATGTACTGAACTAATAGTTGGGAAAACGGAAAATCTAAGAATGATGGTTTTGTCTCTGCTTAGAATGAAAATGTCCTGTCTCTGTTGTGAAGTACTAGTGACCCCTGCGGGCAGAAACTGATGACAAAAGTTTGTTTAGAGGTATGGTAATGTAGAAGCTGTTAGTTTGCATCGTGCCCTGGGGGGTAATAATTCGGCGTTGCTCGGGAGATTTCTGGTGATTTTACAAATCGCATCTGCTCTGTTCGTTTGCGATGGAGCCGCCGTTCTTTGTTTTGTGTCACGGTGGCGCTGTGAGCTCTTGTTGAAGTTCCCGACAGAGGCTTCTCTGTTCTGTTAAATTTGGAGCGACAGCGATCGGTATAATGCCTCTTTTTTGTGCTGAGGGTAAGTATCAGGTGATTTTGTATTTTTCTCTGCTTCAGAACTGTCTTTTTAAAAATGACTATTTTTTTACAGTTAAAAATGGCTCTTTAATGGGCTCTACCTGGAAAGCAGTGAGGGTTTCTTCAATAGTTTTGGTTTGAGCCTCAACAACTCTTTGGAATTTATTTCCCAGCCAATCTTGGGACTTTGTAAGTTGTTCCCCCAGTGCAGGAGCTTGTATGGTCACGATGTGCTGTGGAGTGCAGAGTTACCACAAGCTGAGAGCATTGGTGGCACTGTTGGTGGCTGCTCTGGTAACAGAACCCTTTGACATTTATTGTTTGCATTAGTAAAGGCAAGGCTTTAATTCAGTGAGGATGTGCTGTTTCCTTAGGACACTGCTTCTGAACTGCTTGTGCCAAGCGATCTAAAAAGGCAAGATGAGGTTTGGTTGTGGCTTGTTGAATCAGAGAATCAGCGTTTTCATGGGTTCTTGCAGTTGTACAGTTAAAAGAGTCTTTCTGGCTGCATTTTTAATATCTCTTATTCCTGCTCTGGAAAGGGATTCGGCTTGGTCTTCAGCTCTATGGTTTGGAGGATCTCTAGCTAATTGACTGATTGTTAGCTGGGCTTTGGGCTTCTAGCAGGGCTCTCCATCGATCTGTGAGGATGCTTTCACTGTTCCAAGTCCCACAGAATATATTGTGAGTTTGTTAAAATTACAGATGAAATGTTACAGCAGTCTGAAGGTGTGAGGTGATAAGAATCATATCCACTTCTCATCACGTTATTGAATACTGGGAGTTTAAGCTGTTGTCTTTAAAAGCTTTTCCCAATTTCTGAATATCCTAATGTGCTATAGGCTCCCACCAAGGATTAGCATTATTTTCCTTATATCGAACTGGCACAGCAAGGATTTTTCTATATGGTGAATTAAAATCTTTATCTTGCACGAGTTTAGGTCTAATGTCAGCCCAATTAGTCAGTTCCCGTTGTGTGTTCACGGGGCTGGGATGGAACGGGTTAAACTCTTCCTCTGAACCAGGGTCCGTGCCCCGCTTCATTTCCCTGTGGAGGAGTTGTCAAATCCCGGGTTTTTCTCTCGTTCCTCTCTTTGGCGGCAGTCAGAGCTCGGGTTTTGCAGCGCTGGCAGAGCAGCCTCGCTCCTTTTGCTCGGCAGAGCTGCCCTCGCTCCCGGCCGGGCAGGGCTGGAGGATCCCGGGCGGGCTGGGGATGGCAGCGGGGGCTGCAGCCGGGAGAGCGGCGGGGCTGCGGGGCAGCGCCGGGGGCACCGCGGCTCCGCTCGGGCTTGCGGGGCCCCTGGGCGCGGCTGGAGGGAGGGAGGGCTCGGAGACACGGCTGGGGACGCGGCGGGCTTGGCACACGGCAATGGGCAACTGGAAAGATTCGCAATTTGTTTAAATAACTTAATTATTACCTCATTTGTATAGAGGGAATGCATGTGTACTTGAATGGTTTTGGTTTATGGTAAAAGTATTGTACAGTTTGAGTTTAACTGGGTCCCAGACGGAGGGTGAACACAGAAGTGTTATTTATAGTTGGAAACTGCTTTTGAACTTAAGATTGAACTTTTGAACGCAAATTTTTAGGTTTGGCTTTGAAATATTATAAGAATTAGATCTTTAAGGAGCTTTAAGGCTTTTATAAATACCTTTGGGTTGCTTGGATATTTTGTGCTGGATTATGTTTTTTAAAGCTTGCTTGATGTTGTGTAATAGGAGACAATATTGGCTTCTGTTCGAGTTGAGCTCATGATGCAGGTAGATAAAAGTCTTGACTGTTTGGGTATGTTTTTTTTTTTCATTTTGTAGAAGAATTAATTCTTTAGGGTCTTGTTTCTTTGTAGTAGCACTGAACAGAAATTATTTTGAAGACTTTTAACTGCTTGAAAGATAGTTACATTATTGGGTCTTTTATAAGGAAACTACTGTTTTATTGTTTTTTTAGTTTCTATAAAGATGGGGTAACTGAGAAGTGTTATAAAAGATTTTATTTAATTATCAGTCTCAATAAAGAATTAAGCATAAACATATAAAACTCAACGTTATTCTATTAAAAGCTAATTTGTTTCCTAATTCCTATACCTTACAAATGTTTGTCCAGCTATTAGCTTTTACACACAATAGTGTTACTTCTAACACCAATCACCTCTATTTGTACCTCACATAGTCCTATTAGAATGCATCTTTCATAGTTCTAATTCTCTAAAATATCTACTCTTTATAAAGCCATATTTTAAAACTTACTAAAACATATTTCTATCCCAATCTCTCTCAACAATATCGTCTCTATTCCATAGCTTTCCTAAGTCAACACAGCTGATCTCAATATTTGCATACAGATGTACAAGTCTGTGTGAGCTTTGTATCAAAGTTTAGAAATTCTTTCCAAATCCACCCCTCGCAGCTCTGGAGCAGCGAAAGCTCGGAGCAGCACCCAAGGGGCAGCGGCAGCCGGGTCTGAGCAGGGCAGGGAGAGGCGAGCTCAGGGTCCCGGGCACCCGAGCAGGGGGGACAGGGCCCTCCGGATCGAGGGGTGACAGTGAGGTGCCCCTGCAGGGGCTGCTCTCACAGGCACAGGCTCACCCCACAACCCCACAGCAGGAGAAGCTGCTCTGGGCTGGATTATGGCATTGACAGGGAATTCCCTTCCCCAAGCAGCAGCTCTGACCGTCCTCCTCCAAAGCTGAGAGAGAGAGAGAGAGACAGAGAGAGCACCTGCAGCTGACAGACTCTTCTCCACAGTCAGCTGCCAGATGCCCAAAGTGCGATTCCTCCTCAGGACGTGTCAGCTGTTCTAACTCTGCCAAGGACAGTCCACAAGTATCACCTTCAAGCCACTTTGTGATGATTTCCAAGAGCCCAGAGACATCTGGACTTCCCATTGGAGCTTGTTGTGTCATGAGGGCAATGCAGTCACTGCAGGCAGCACCGGTGGCAGGATGGATTGCAGAGACTTTTCCTTTGCAGCCCCAGCCCAGCGTTGGCACTGGGCATGAAGAGGCACTGAGGTGACCCTGAGAGGAAGGGCAAGGCACAGGGTGCAGCTGAGGAAGGACAGCGCTGTGCTGGGCTCAGAGGTGAAGCTGGCACTGCCCAGTGTGGAGAAGGTCCTTTCTGCAGCCCCTGTTACAGGGGAGCTGGGGCCTTGCTGCAGAGATACGGCCGCTTACTTGAGCACATCTCACTCCTGAACCTTTTCCCGTCGGCCAGGTACACACACTGGGAATTGCCGAGGACAGGAACCCTGCAGGGAGGAGCAGAGGCAGCGCTGGCTGCCAGGGGCAGCCCTTGTGCCCCTGTGCCCCCAGGCCCTGCCCGGCTCCCCGGCACTCACCGGGAGCTGTAGCTGCTGCCGTCCCCCCAGTGCAGGCGCTCGCCCCGTCTGCGCAGCCCGAGCCAGAAATCGACGTTCCCACGGAGGCGGAAGAGCAAATCCTGCCCAGGAGAGAGGAGTGGGAGCTGCCCCGGCCCCTCGGGGGGACACGGGCCCGGGGCTCCCCCCGCATGCCGGGGCTCCTTCCCTGCAAGGCCCCGGCCCAGGGCTGCAGCCCCGGCCCTACGAGCACCGAGCCCGGCCCAGGAGCACCCCCAGGCTGCCCTCAGCCACCCCACACCGCCCGCAGCCCCTCACTCACCATGGCCTCCTCATCCTTGGCAATGGCCAGGGAGGCCCCGAGCTTGGAGCACCGTTCCTGACCCTGCTCCCAGGTGCCGTGATCCTGTGAGAAGTAGTAGCAGACCCCATTGTACCCAACCCAGCCATGGGGACAGCCCAGAACTGACATCGGAGTCGCAGGTGTGACTGGAACCTGTGGTGCTGCAGGGGGAAGAGGAGAAGGTCTGAGGATTGCCCTGTGCAGAGAGCAGGGAGCCCGCTCTGCCCCGAGGGGCTGGGCCCAGGCTGCTGCCCCTCCCTTACCTGCCAGCACAGCCAGGGCCACCCCCAAAGCCAGCACCAGCACCAGGAGCAGCAGAATCAGCACCGCCGTGCCCACGGGATGGCCCCTGATGCATTCACCTGGAGCAGGAAAGAGCTGCTGGCTGCCAGAAGCAGAGCCGGGCCTGCAATCTGCTCAGCCCATGGCCAGGGAGCAGAGCAGGGAGCCCTGAGCCAGTGTGGGCCTCACTCAGCTGGCAGCCAGAGAGCCAAGAGCCTGGACACAGGCAGGGACACAGCTGTGGCCACAGGCTGCAGCAGGAGAACTGCACAGCCTTGGGGGCAGCTGGGGCTCTTGCTTCCAGCCACTGATGGGGCCCAGCAGAGCACCAGGCCTCTGCCAGACATCGGGAAACAGCCACACACCTGCCAGCCCTGCCCTTGGGAGGGGACACTGTTCCCACCCTAGAGACCACAGGGGTGGCCCTGCACTCACCCAGGAATCTTCTGCGGTTCCTTTTGTGTTCATTCTTGGTTCCTGATATGCCCTGGGGAGCCAGGGGCTCTCTCACACTCCCATCACTGGTGCAGAATCCATTCTCCACATCTGCACTCACTGCACACTCACAAGTGGCATCCCCCTGCTTATGCCAGGTGGCTTCTTGGGCCCCAGGCAGGTCTGGAACCGCGGCTGCTGGTCCCTGCTGGGGATGCTGGGGCTCATTCGCAACTCCACGAATGGAGCGGAGTTCATTCCCGTCCTGCTCACAGCCGGCATCTCTCTGCCTGGAACAAACAGCACCTTGCCCTGGGGACTTCAGGAGTGCTGCTGGCAGATCCTTTGGGAGCTCGGCCTCGGGAACAGCTTCACAGCCGCGCTGCTGGCACCCTGAAAGGGACACGGTGAGAGGTCACTGCTGGTGCCGGCGCTGGGGGCTCAGGAGGGCGGTGGCAGCTGTGGCTGCGCTGTCCCCGCTGCCCAGAGGTGTGGCAGCAGCTGCGGAGACAAGCGCAGCCTCCGGGAGCTCTCGGTGCCCGCAGCCCCAGCCCCTGTGGCTCTGCAGCCGCTGCAGCCCAGCTCCGTGCCGGGCCGGGCGCTGACAGCGCCTGCGAGCTGCCGCCTGCTGCTGGCCCGGGGCAGCTGCGGCTCGGAGCCCGGCCCTGCCGAGGGGCAAGAAGCAGCAGCCCCGGGCTGCTCACCATTGTGCCCCGCATTCCCTGCCCCGGCGCCTTGGAGCCCGGGCACACCGAGCGCCGGCACGGCTGCTGCGGCTCCCTGCCTGTGGAAAAAATGACCTGGGAGTTTTGGCTTTCACATTTATGTATGAGCCTCTGCATGTTGTTGGTGATTATAATGATTTAGGTATAGTATCAATTCTAACTCTTTCTGTCTGGATGCCAGTGTATTATAATCTATACGTTTAAGTATGCACTGTATTACTCATAGACATAGTCGTGTAATGAATATCTATGTATCACTTATGAAAATAATAGTGTGGTGAATGTACTATATTTTAGACCTTAGCAAACATCAGATGTGAAAAACGCTTTTATGTAACTAAAAACAGTGTAAGGCCATCCACTGACCAACCTGTCCAAGAGATAAAATAACTGTGACCAAAACCAGAGCAATGGAGGACAATTAGAGACTACCACGTTAAAATTAAGGAGAAAATACTAAAATCTTATCACAGGATGTGAAACCGCAGGATGCAGACACAAGAATAAATAAAATACATTGACCTGACACCCAGGAAGTCATGCAGATAAGAGTGTGAAGAAGTCAGACAAAGGAGTTCCCTAAACACAAGAAAGCTCAAAAAAATGTTCGGATATTGTTTTAAATACATGAATATGCATGCACCTCAGCGATGCCACAGTATAAACAGAACATTATCAGTACACCCCGGTGGGTTCTTTCACTGTTGACCGGGAGCACCCAGCGCTGGAAATATTATCCCTTTTTATCCTATTACTATTACAACCATTATTATTAGTGACTTTTCAAAAACACAAAGGAGTGAATTCCATTTTCCTCACCTGTCGAGGGGGGACCCCAGCACAAGGAATTCACCAAACCTCCCGCCCACACACACACACCACCCCTCTCCCCCCCCCCCCCCCCCGTCCCCCCCCCGCACCGCAGCCTCCTCCGCCGGGGGCGAGGCACGATCGAGCGCGGGTCACACCTGGGCTGGAGCCGCCTCTGAGCTCCGCCACCGCCGCCTCTCCGGGCTCCGGCATGACACGAACGCGCCGCTCGCCGCCGCTCCCGTCCCCGCTTGACCAAGGCGCCGCGGGCGCTGACGTGCGGAGCGGTCTCACGCAATGGCACTGATTGGAGCGGAAGCGGCCGCCGCGGCCGAGCTCTCCGCCCACCTGACCAATCAGCGGCCGGGAGCGCAGCCATGGCGGAGCGGAAGCACCGCCCCCGAAGGGCGAGCGGGTCGGGGCGATGCCCGCGGCCATTTTGCCCCCCCCCCCGGCACCCGCCTCACCCGGAGCCCCGAGCGGGTCCCAGCTCGGCTTTTCCCTCGCTGCCGCCGGGGCTTTTCCCGCTCCTGGGGCTCGGCTTTGCCCGGCGGCTCCGGCTGGCCCCGGCAGAACTCACTCCCACCCCCGTGGCTCCCCAACCCTGCGGCGGGGCGAACCCCCGGCATTTGCCCCAAGGGCTCTGACTGCTGCCCCTGGTTACTGAAGCCTCACGCACCGTGTCCTAGAATGCCGTAAACATGGGCTGAAATGCCTTTGTAAAGTTAACCTTGTGTTTTTCACTAACTCTGATTTCACTGAGAATTGTTACCGGAGAGAGTCAAAGCTGTAAATGCAGTGCTTCATTATTATTATCATGTGCAGCACAACACAATCGAATTTCTTTAACAGAAATGCTGATAACATTTACTATATGCTATTACACTAAATACAACCTCAAGAAGCTCCCGGTTTGTTGGACACTTTGCCAAATTCTACATTATTGTGTCTTTCGGTACAACTGCGCTTTAAAAGGTCTGAGTAAATTTATGGTTCCATAAAATTTGTGGCTGCCATGAGTTTTCCTCAATGTTAAATTACACAGGGTCACCATATTTGTCACACTTTTCTAATCCCTCCAGTAAATCCATCAGGCAGTTATTTCAGCCATGCTTGGTTCACATTTTCAGTGCCTTTTGGTATTAATAGCAGCAGAATAAGGTACATTTTGTAGTACCCAGAACCTTTTAAGGATATTGATTATTAGTTCAGTTCTGATTTATTTGAATATGATTTTAGTCTTGGTAAGATTAAGCAAAGTGAAATCTGAGTAATGTTAGGTTATGCTTTATTGCTCTATTGAGTTACTTTTGTTGACAGTCATTTATGTCAAGGTGGATTTCTGTCAGGTTTCAGTATTGCTGAGTTTGGACAAGGTCGAGTTTATGTTTCCACTTGAAGCCATTTTATGTTCTATTCCAATTTCATTAGGATCAGTTTTTATTCGGTATTAAAGAGGTTAACTTTAAGTTCCTTTAAGTGTACCTCTAATGCCACTGAGGTGACACTGAATTCCACTGCAATTAATTTTAGGCCCTAAGTTAATTTGGTTTAAATATGTTTCTTTACATTGCAAGATGTAGTTATTTTCTTCTAGAGATAAGACAGATGCCACTGAAACAGCTGTGATGAAACACTGATAAGCAGCTGCTTTTGGATAGGAGAAGCTACAGCTTGTTGGGCCCTTGATCCTCTCACAGCTTGCACAGGTGTCAGTGCTGCACTGCCTGACAGGATCATTCACTGTGATCTCTTCTGTTCTATCTTCCACAGATAGCACAGGAGAGAGGCTGGTTGTTCTACATGATGGCTGTTAGCCACTGGAAGCTGTTCAGTGTTCCATTGTTGTGGGTACAGCAATGCTGGAAGAATATTGGCTCCAATTCCTGAGACAGTCACTGCTGATGGATCGGTTCCATCATGTCAATTCACTGATTTTGATAACAGGCATTCTTCATAAGACACCATTACCTTACTCATAGCTGGCTTTTCATGAACTTTGAGCTATCTTTGTGTGACTATGCACAAGACATGGTGTCACTTTGGGATCTCTCTGTTTTGCTCTCCAGCTGCAGATGCCTCTCTTTGAACAGGCTGTCTGCAGCCGTTCCCTGCGCTGCCTGCTCAGCCTTTAGTCCCTTCTCTTGTTCCAGCAGGGTTGCTGTGCCTTCAGCCAGGGCTGTCTCCTGATTTTCCTGTGTTTCCAGAGTTCCAGGAGGAGATCTCTGGGCTCTGTCAAAAGCCTCATCTGAGCTGAGGTCCTGTGGCCTTTCCTGACCCTTTTGTGACCCATCCTCGTGGGCCAGGGCTGTGACCTGCTGAGGGCAAGGCTGCTCCTGCTCTGTGCCAATCACACACAGCCCCAGTTATTCTCACAGAAGGGCCTTTGCCTCAATTTAGCCTCCTAAAACGAGGGGAAATGCAGTTTCCTTCTTCAATTTCCCTCAACCAAGACCATTCTGGGGGCTTTTGCACATCTTTTTCACCTGTGAAGGTCCCTTCAAATGGAGGTGCCCCTCGATGGAACTCTTACAGTGGCACACCAAGAGGTTCCTCTCCAGGGAAGCCCTTTCAGACCAGGGGCAGCCGTGTTGGCTCAGTTTGAACCTGAAGATGATGGAAATGGGGCTCTTTCCCTCAACTCAAACAGCACCATAAAGGGTTCCTCCTTCCATTTAAGCATGAAAATCATGGGAAATGGAGGCGCCACCAAGGGAGGCAGCCAAAAAGATGAAAAAGGTGAGTTTTCCTTCAGTTGAGACCCTGCAAATCACAGGTGAATGGGGATCCCCCCAGTTCAAACACAATCACAGAAAAGCTTTTCCCCCCTCCATTTCAATCCCTTTTCTCCTTGTTATGCCCCATTCTGGGGGCTCTGGGGAGGGACTGGGGGCACTTCCCCCTCCTCACTGGTCCCCCCTGGGGCTGCTGCCCTTGCAGAGTGCTGAGGAGCTCCCTCCCAGTTCCCTGCCAGTATCCCCCCTCTTCCTGGCAAGCCCCAGCAGGGATGGGGAGAGCACTGGGCAGGAACTGGGAGCACTGTTCCTGCCCAGAGCTCCTGATTTCCCTCCCAGGGCTCCTTCCCGCTCACTCCCGCTGCTCCCACTCTCCCTCCCAGTTCCCTCTGGCATTCCCTGTGCTCCCAGTTCCCTCCCAGTGTTCCCAGGATCTCTCCCAGTGCTCCCAGCAGCAAAGCCCTGGGGGCCCAGCGAGCTCTGCTCTTGAAGAGGCCAGACTTGAGCTGTCAAGAGAGAAAACCCGGCTGGGAAAACTCCACACTGTCACACAGGAACAAACCCTTAACGAGGATGGGTTTCCCTTGCTGGCACAAGGAGAGAAGCAGAAATCTGACAGGAATATTCTTCATCATTCTGCCCAGGCTCTGTCAAACCCTCCAGCTCCTGCACTTCGGGAAATAACAAGTGGCTTCTAAGCAGTGCCTTTGATGTCATTGAGCATGTTATTATGGATTAATCTCACACTGGAAAGCAGCCTTCACACCCTACTGCTCTTTGCAAAGAGTTTGGAGGCTGCTGCCCAGCGAGCTCCTGAGTCTTATCTTCCTTGTCAATCTTATCAGCCCCTTGTTTAATTATAAAAACATAAATAAAATGCAGGGAGCATTGGCCCAGGGTCGTAGGACTTGCATATCTCCTCCAAAGAGAGGGAAAAAAAGAGTGCTTCTCCCAAACCACGGAGTTTAAAAGTTCATGTTATCTTACATATATTTTTAAAGGGAAAAGAGGAACAGTAAAATATCAATTACTGTGCCAGTGGTGCTCCAGCCCATTTCTGTTCTCTTCTTTCAATTGTAGCATCTCTAAGAAGAATTTCATAGAAAAAAGAAAAACAAACAAAAAACCAAAAAAAAAAAAAAAAAAAAAACCAAAAAAAAAAAAACCAAAAAAAAAAAAAAAAAACCCACAAAAAACCACCTAAAAAACCAACCAAACAGAAAAGCCCCATGGAATTAAAGCTGAAGGAGAAGCAATCTGGCTGCAGGCTTGTGGCACTGCCCTGCCTGAGTTCCTGTAAGGGAGCTCATCCCCTCTGCAGTTCCAAGACAGATCCCAAGTCCTGAGCATCAGCTTTCAGCCTTTTGAACGCTGAACTGTAAGAAAAGCTGCTGGGGAGGGCCATGCTCCAGGCACATCTGTGGCATTTCATCTCTCCGGCTCTCTCAGCTCAGCTCGGGTCTTTCCCTCTCCTTGCTGCGTTTGGCTCATGCATTTCTTGAGGGGCTGGCCCTGCACTGACCAGAGCATGAACTGACCATCAGACAAACAGCTTCTGGCACTGTGGCTCTGTCCTAAATGGACCATTTCCCAAAGGAGTTCCAGTGCCTTAGTTTCACTGACTCGAGATGGCTTTTCAAGGAACCTGCTTTGATGCACTCCATTTCTAAACCAGGAGCGCACAGCGCTCCTGCACTCCCTGCCAGGGTCATTCTTTGAGCCTTGGAGAAAGGCTTTAAAGCAGCACAGAGCTTGCTGAGCACCAACAACTTCATCCAAAATTCAAATCAACAGCATGGACAGAGCCTGACTTTAAAACCTATTTAAAAAGTGAATTAAAGAGCAGTTGCATTGCCAATTGACAAGATGAGAAAGGTTTCCTTAGCAGTTGCTGAGATGACAAATTAAGGGAGAGGACGAAGCACGGAGGGGAAAACCTTCATTTGCACAGTGGAGTTTTAACCATCATGCTCATATCTGAAGGAATTGCAGAAACCATTCTAATCTCAGGAAAGGAAAAGGTTCCTGGATATTTCTCATTTCAGCAGGAGCCTGAGGAAGCCCTCAGCACAGGAGATTGGGATAAGTGCAAGGCTGCTTTCTGGAGCAGAGGGAGCCGGGTGTGCTCCTCAAAGCCAGACCTTCACCCACAGCAGCCAGAAGGGAGAAAAACAAGGACCCAACAAAGCTTTAAGTGGGGAATGGGTTTTCAAGGGTTTTATATGGAAAGAACAAGTTCTGGGGAATAGGACCTGGAAGGTGAGAGAGAAAGGAAACAGGGAGGAAGCTGAGGCCTCTTCAGATTGGAAAAGAGAAAACAAGGGAGGAAAATTTAGGAGGCAAGAAAAGGCTGGGCCTAAATTCCAACACAGCCAGCACGGCCGCTGTGGCTCCCTGCCTGTGAAAACGGGGGAAGCCGCCACCAGGAACTCGCCAGAGCCTCCCGGCCCTCAGCGCGGCCCCTCCGCCCGCAACGAGCCCCGAGCTGGGGCAGCACCGACCGCGGGTCCCACCTGGGCTGGAGCCGCCCCTGAGCTCCGCCATCGCCTCGCCAGGCCCCGCCGCAGCTCCGGAACTAAACGAACAATCCTGCCCGCCCATTCCGCCAAAACTCAGAGCCCAGGGCGGCGTGGGAGGGGCTGCGGCCGATTCCAGCGCCAGCGCGTAGGGGGGGCAACGACGGGAGGGGCGGGAGCGGAGACTGGAAGGGCCGTGTGCAGCGGCAGTGGAAGGGAAGGGCCGTGTGCAGCGGCAGTGGGGGAGGCCAGCGCCCTCACATACCGCCCACATTCTAATAAACATTCTCCTCCATTTCCTTTTCCTTAGCGCGGTTTTTTTGGGACGGCAGCCCCCACTCGCTCCCAGCGGAGCCTTTCTGGTTCAAGCAGATCAAATGAATCCCAATTGTCATCGATTTCCACCACCTGCTATTTCTCTCCTCTTTTCGTAAACGGACTTCGCAGTTCTTTTCTTTCCTCCAACAGAGCTGGAAAGCAAAATGCTTGCCTGACCCATGGCAATCCCAGCCGCCTGCCACCGCTCCAGCCTTGTCCCTCTTTCTCTCCCCTTTACTTGGCACTATTTTCTCCCTCCTCCTCCTCTCCCTGCCAGCGGGCAGCAAAGCCATTTCACCCACTGGCACCAGCTGCCTCCTCTCCCTCGCTCCCATTTTGCCCATTCTGAACTCCTGGAGACGCCTGTCCGCGGAGCCGGAGCCGCGGTGGAGCCGGGTAATGGTGCAGGGAATGGTAGCAGGGAGTCTTGGGCTGCGCTGGGCCAGGGTCGGTGCCCGGTGCCACCAAAACCGCTCTGTGCCTCTCCTCTTCCCCCCCAGCCCGGCCGCCTCATGGCTCCCCCTCACCCGGCCTGCGAGCTGCCGGCTGCTGCTGGCCCGGGGCAGCTGCGGCTCGGAGCCCGGCCCTGCCGAGGGGCAAGAAGCAGCAGCCCCGGGCTGCTCACCATTGTGCCCCGCATTCCCTGCCCCGGCGCCTTGGAGCCCGGGCACACCGAGCGCCGGCACGGCCGCTGCGGCTCCCTGCCTGTGGACACGGAGCGGGTCCCGGTACCGAGGGCAGCGCCGAGCAGCCTCGGCCCCGGAGCAGGCAGGATGCGGCGCTTTGTGCCCGCACTCGGCGCCTGCAGCGCTCTGGGCTCTGAGGCACGTTCAACTTCAGCCTGTGCCAGCCCCGAACACCTCTCGTCCAAGCAGCGGCCCCGAGTCCGGTGCCGCACGGGCGGGAACTGTCCCGGGCACGGAGCAGCCGCCTCCGTCCCAGCGAGAGCAACCGGGATGAGCCAGCGCTGCCGCAGTGCCTGGAGGACACAGAGGAAGCCGGCACAAAGAACTCGCCAGAGCCCCCCCGGCCCTAACCGCGGCCCCCTCCGCCCGCAATAGGCCCCGAGGCGGTGCACAACCGACAGCGAGTCTTACATGGGCTTCAGCTGCCTCGGAGCTCCCTCGCCGCATCGCCACTGCCTCAGCTCTCTGAGCACTCGAGCCGGCGAGAGGGCGGTGTGGCAGCGCTTTTGGTCCTTTTGACCAATCACCGGGCGCCACACTTCATCGGGAGCAGCGGGCGGGAGGGGGAAGGGCAGGCGCGTCGTGGAAATCACCCAACAGTGGTTTCGGTTTCTTGTACCAAAGTGAATCCGGAGCCATATTGAAAGCCAGAGGCAGGGACATTTTCAGAAGCAGAAGCCGCGCGAGGGGAGCACTCAGGTCATTCCTGTCCTGCAAAAACCTTGCTAGGAAAAGGGCCCCATGTTGTTGGCGCTGGTCGAGAACAGCAGCCCCGAGGAAGCTGCTTCTGGGGCTCTCAATAGTGAATTACGGCAGGGATTCTCGGAGTGACCTGGGCTGGGCCAGGTGCCCGGTGCCACCAGAACCGCTCGGTCCCTCTCCCCGCCGGCCCGGCCGCCTCATGGCGCCCCCTCACCCGGCCTGCGAGCTGCCGCCTGCTGCTGGCCCGGGGCAGCTGCGGCTCGGAGCCCGCCCCTGCCGCGGGGCAAAAAGCAGCAGCCCCGGGCTGCTCACCATTGTGCCCCGCAGTCCCTGCCCCGGCGCCTCACTCCCCACAATCGCGTTGTCATAGAGCCAGGAGCAGTCGGAAAAAAGAAAACATCCTGCTTGCCTAGTCGAGATCCAAGGCATTCCGGGCGTGCTGCCAGGGCTTACGAGTCACAGCTGGTGAGTGAGCTTTCCCGGAGAGGGACTTTGCTAGATCTGTTGTTTATGAATAGGGATGGGCTGGTGGGAGATGTGCTGCTTGGAGGCCTCCTGGGGCACGTGATGATGAAATTACAGTGTTCTCTATATTTGGGGATATCGGGAGGAACGTCAACAAGACTTTTACACTGGCCTTCAGGAGGGCAGACTTTGGCCTGTTTAGGAGACTTATTCAGAGTTCCTTGGGAAGCAGCCCTTAGAAACAAAGGAGTTCAGGAAGAGTGGGCATGCTTCAAAACAGAGATTTGAGGGCACAGGAACAGACTGTCCCTGTGTGCCCAAAGAGGAGTTGATGAGGATAACGTCCAGCCTGGATGGGCAATGAGGTTTTGGAAGAACTTAGAAATAAAAGGAGGATGTATCAGCTTTGGAAGGAGGGTCAGGTTACTCAGGAACTATTTAAGGGGGCTGCTAGGGTACATAGGAAAAAAATAATGGAAGGCCAAACTCAGCTTAAACTTAATTTGGTAATTTTGTAAAGGATTGCAGATATAATAATAGTAAAAGGAAGGGAAGGACCAGCTTTTGTTCTGTTTTGTATGCAGGAGGGAACTTAGTAACTGCAGATGAGGAGAAGGCAGAGGTGCCCAATGCCTTCTTTGCCTCAGCCCTTAGTGGAAACACAGCTTGTCCTCAGGACAACTGAACTCCTGGGCCGATGGATGGTGTCAGGGAGCAGAATGGGTCCCCTGTGATCCAGGAGGAGGCAGTCAGAGAACTGCTGAGCTGCTTGGATGCTCATAAATCTGTGGGCCCCGAGGGGATCCACCCCAGGGGGATGAGGGAGCTGAGAGATGAGCTTGGGAAGCTGCTCTCCATCATTTACCAACAGATCTCTCACCCTTCATGGGCGTAAGAAGGCCGGAGTGGGGACATTAATTTTACTTGAATTTTTTTATCAAAGAAATCAGAGCAAGGGACTGAGAAGTACGCCAAATCCTAAAATTGCACCTTCCCCTCAGTGCTTCCTCTTTCCTGGGCTTCACTTTATCCCCAATTCCCTCCCTCCTCCCCACACCGTGGCACAGAGCGATGGGGGTGTTTTGGTTTGAAGGACAGGTGTCTGCTAAGGAAGGCAGGAGCCTCCCTGGCAATGGGAAAGGCAATCCCCCTGCCTCTGCATTATTATAATTCAGAAGCTGAGGGTCTCTCGGGCCCCAAAGACTTCCTCTTTCCTGGGCTTCACTTTATCCCCAATTCCCTCCCTCCTCCCCACACAATGGCACAGAGCGATGGGGGTGTTTTGGTTTGAAGGACAGGTGTCTGCTAAGGAAGGCAGGAGCCTCCCTGGCAGTGGGAAATGCAATCCCCCTGCCTCTGCATTATTATAATTCAGAAGCTGAGGGTCTCTCGGGCCCAGACACGAGAACAGAGCCGCAGTTCTTTCCCGCTGTGTCCCCAGCGCACACGGGCCCAGCGCGGCGCTGCCCCGAGCAGGCCCAGCCCCAGCCCCGCCCCTGCCGGCCGCGCGCGCTTTCCCCTCGCTGCAGCTGCGGGCGCGGCCGGCAGGGGCGGGTGCGGTGCCTCCCCCGCGGCTGCAGGGGGCGCTGTGGCGCGGGCTCGGTGCCCGCGCGGCGGTGGCGGCTCGGCCCGGGCCGGGCATGGAGGAGCGGCCTCGCTGCCAAGGCCGCGGCAGCCGGGCCCGGGGCCCTGCGGGGCTCTGGGAGCAGCGAGCGGGGCCACAGCGATGGCTCGGCACGCGGGGCAGGGGCTACACCTCGGGGGTTTTATTTTTGTATTGACCGGGTAACGCAGAGGTGTTTTAAAAGATTTGATTTTCTCGTCAGTCTCGATGAAGAGTGAGAGCTGAGATGGAAGAGTCAATGTTATTCTATTAAAAGCTAACTTATTTCCTGTTTACATTACCTTATAAATGTTTTTCAGCCTCTTACCTTGTGATAAATAATATGATTCCTGCTAACAGCTGCAACCGTATCGATATTTTAGAAAATGTTTGTTAAAAAGCGGTAGAGGAAAAGGATGTGCAATTAGTGTCACGAAACAGACATTCTCAGATGTTCATGAGAAAATAGGATACAGGGTGGAGTATTGAGATAAACAATATCCTAAAACAGAATCGGTCTTGGGATGAGCAAAGTTGGGACGATTCCAAATATGCAATTTGCAATAGTAGTCCTATCTATGAAATAATAAGACTTAGTTGGAACATAATGCTTACTTACATAACACAAAGGGTAATGCACATGCCCAACCTGCCAGGATATTCAGAGGGCAGCGAGGAAGACAGTGAGCCTTCCTCTGAAGAGACCCCCAAAAGGCCAAAAGACCCCTTAGCAACAGGCGGAGCATGGACTGTGCAGTGCAGTGACAGAGATTGCAGGAATCAAAAATGGGAGGGGATTTACAGGAAAATATTGATGAATATGTATTAGCATACAGTGTATAAGTTGTGTTTGGATCCTTTTGCCTTTTGTACATGAGGCAGGGTGAGAAAAACCCTCCCCATACCCCAATCGATTGGTTTTGCGTATACTTTATCCAAACCACTGCCAATTTTTTGTTTTCCATCTGCTTGATTGTTTCTAATTGTGTAATTTTATATAAAGTTGCTGCTCGATTAAAATTGGTGCTAAATTCTAATTTTGTGGTTTATTAAATTAGACATATAGGGACCTCATTCATAACAGTGTAGTCAGTTTTGTTTTATTCTCTGTGAGAGGACACAAAGTTGGCAAAGCTTTGCTAAGCTCTGCTCCTCCCTCCTCTCCCTGGAAAAGCCGAGTCTTACAGTGCCCTGTGTTTGTGGTGTGGTTTTGCTGCTGGTCAATCACTAGTGCACTCATTTCCTGCTGCGAGGTAAGATTAGGAGAAAGTGAAAGCAGGCTTAAAACTTTAAAAGGGTATGTAGAAAATTTTATTAATAGAAATTAAAAGAAAAAAATTAGCAGAAATTGAAGCAAACCCTTTAGAACACTTCTCCTCCTCCCACAACTTTTTCTTTTCCACTGACAAAGTAAAGAAACAAAACCAAAACTTTCCAGTTAGTTTACTACCTCTAAAAAGTCTTTCTTCAGTTCATTTAGGGAGGGAAGTCCCTCTTGTTAATGTTATGGAGACTTCTCCCCAAGAGGAAAGAGTTTTCTCCTGGTTCCTAATTTGGTCACAAATAGCAGCTGCCAAGGGGAATTTATCATGAAGCTTCTGTCATTTTCTACATCCTTTCTGCAGCTTGTTTATTGGTCATGTTGACTTATGGGGTATTGCTTTAAAGATGAGCTGGTGAAAGGAAAAAGTTCTTATTATTTATTTCTAAAATAATTTTCATCCCTGGGAACAGAGATTTTCTCCTGGGAGTATGGGATTACTCTTCTCTCTTTCTCTGTTCAAACCTCTCATGGGATTACAGCTCCTTTAACATCTGCTTACTTTAGTGTGGAGGCCTATGCTGGATATCAATTTGAACCCTTCATCTCCCCATAGTTTTATGCATTATAGGGAAAAAGTGTCTTTTCTCCATAGCTTATAAGGGGATTTCAGCTTTAAAATCAAGGCATCTCCTCATCCCTCCCATCTGGGACTTAACTTCCTCCTCACTGACCGTGATGTTTCCACGTTGTTCTTTTACCCGTTTGTACCTTGCTCTTTTCTCTCACTCGAGGGAGGACAGAAGCACGGACAGGGTTTGTGTGATGCTTGGAGCCTGCAGGTGTTTGCCCTGACCCCGTTAGAGACGCGGAGCTGCGGCTGGGGAGCGGCTCCGATCCGCTCCGCCCGGCCAGAGCTCAGCAGCAGCAGCAGCAGCGCTCGGGGCTGCGCTGGCTGGGACAGGGGCGGCTTCTCCTTCCCCTGCCCGCTGGCTGCGGGCCGCTTCTCTGGGCTACAGTCCCGATGCTGGCCTGGGGCTGCTCCCGGGGCTCGGCTGGGCCGGGCTGGGGCTGCAGCAAGCAGCGAGATGAGAGCAAGGCCGGCTCCGTCCTGCCCGCAGCAGCACCGCCCTCGCCCTCTCCCTGTCCCTGCCCGGCTGCGGGGCTGGGGGAAGGGGGAAGGGGGAAGGGACCCAGCCCAGCCCCCCAAACAACGGAAGCTCGCGGGTTCCTTTGGTTTTACCAGCTCCACCCACGGAGCTGTGTTCAGCTGCTTTAGCAGCTCAGCAGATTGTGAGCTAGATAAAATGCTTTTCTGTCACTTCTCTAAATTCTTCCCATGTCAAACTATGACTCCCTGTAATGCTCTCTTGCCCTCAGGCAGTTTAGTTTCTGTGAATCATCTTGAAAATATGGCTCAGAAAATACCTGAAATAACCTGAAAAAAACCACTGTTCCCTCTCCTGATAAAATGTAGGAGTTTAATAGGAGACAAAGACAACAAAGCAGAGGCTACAGCTGGATGTGTCTTGGCCCTCAGCCAAGAGCACACCTGCTGGTTTGGAACCAGCCTTTGTACAGCATTTCTACTGTATCTGCCTGGTGCATATGTAAACTTTTCCCCAACACCTGCTGGTTTGGAAATAGGCTTTATACAGCATTTCTATTGCACCAGCCTGGTGCATATGTAAACTTTTCCCCAAACTAGTTTACATGCCCCAAGAACTGCTTTGCATAACACCTGCTCAGGTCCTGCTTTTTAGAGCATGCACATTTCTTGGTTGTGGTTTTAGTCCATTTTGTCATCACCTTCAGTTCTTGGGCCTGGGTCCACGCTGTCTTCAGAAGATGAGTGCTGATAGCTGGCATCATATATTCCTTGGATATTATCTCCACCAAGCAGGCATTTTAACACATGCATATCTATATCAGCTATTTCTAAGTTTTAGTTAGCAACAGAAATATAAACTATATCTTTATAGCAAAGTCACTTTAACACCACACATACAGAATCCATTTTAATAGTTGCAAAAAGCCAATACTATAGTATATATCTATAACACAGTGTTCATTTTTTAACACTTTACCTGAAATCATTTTTTCCAGTTGATTTTAATGTTGAAACCATTCCTTGTAGCTACTCTCCATTCAAAGAAACCTTTAGACATGTTTACTCTTGCTGCCAGTAGAAGAGAATTTCAGTCATTTCTGCAGTTTGCAGTAGTAGTCTCAGTATTTGTGGGCTTCAGTAGTGTTCATACAACCACACTTCGTGTACAAATAGAATTGCCAAAAAACAAATGTTTCAAGTTGGAACTGTTTCTGTATTTTATGTCCCTTTGTGTGTCAGAGAAGATTTGGGCTTAAAAGATGAAAATCTGCCTCTGTTAAAAACAAAGAGAAATTTCTTTTCTGTGTCCCTAATTTTACCTCAGGTGCCTGTCATTCATTATTGGTTTTGCCCCCTGAATGTGATTTTCAAAACCAGCTGGGCTTTGTTGGAAATGGTGTTGGGAACCCACAAGAAAAGTTCCTCATTTTGTTGGCTGAGACCATGGTGATGTTTTTAGCATTTCCTTCTCCCTGGTGGGATCTGATGGCCCTGAGGTGGCCTTGTCTCCTCAGGGTTTCATGCCCTGAGGAAGCAAAGGCTGATAGAATGTGCTTGATCCTCTCCTGTCTAATGGGGAGGAACAGCAACCAGCAGAGCTGGAATCACCTTCTCCACTCCTGATTTCTCCTGCCAAGAGATCACTGGGCTCTCTCAGGGTCCAGAAGTCACTTTTCCTTTTGGATGGATGGCCTGAAGGCACCCAGGTGCTGCAGGTTAGGACTGCTTCAGAAATCCTTTTGGCTTGGAAGGATCCTTCTACCTAAGAGCTGAATGGGCTGTGCCAACCCCAGAGCGAGAGGGACTCAAGGCAACAGAATTAAAGGCTGGTGAGAGAACCCAAAGAACAGACTGTAACATGCAGACCAGGTGAGAGAGAGCCAAAGATTGAAGACATCCGAAAAGTGGAGTCAAGCTTCCAGCCAGCCTGAAGATTAACCAACACTTTGGGCAGGGAGTCTGAACTGTATTGATTATTAATGTAATTGTCCTGTTTTAATAGATGAGAATTACAAGCATCTGTTGAGGAAACCATAACAGGTTTCCTTATGGGCAGTTTCCTCAAGGACCAACAAGCAGAGTGAAACAAGAAATAGAGGGCAAGACCAGGTTGGCCCCTGTGTTCACCACGGAGAAGATTCCATAGCCCTGCTGTGGGCAGCAATCCCATATCCATGGTAAGGTGGGGGCAAGAAAGGCACCCTAGAGCTCTGCCATTGCTCAGCTGTCTTGTAATACAACAGGGACTAGAAGGCAAGACTGAGTTGGCCTCTGCACTCAGCACTAAGATACACCTGCTATGAGTAGCAACCCCATGGGCACAGTAGATGGGCTCAAAAAGCCACACCAGAGCTCAGTGATCCCATTTTGTCCATTCCACATAAGTCTGTCTAAGGAAAACCTGAGATTTTTTTCCTTCTCTTCCCACTGTCCTCACCATCATCAACAGATGCTACAATGACTCATTAAAATTTTTTTGAGAGATTTTCAGAATTGAAAATGGCAGCTAACTCTTCAAGGCAGATGACTCATAGGAAAAGGACGGGGTTTTTTATAGATGAGCATTGTGGTTGTGGCTCTCACAACTGAGAGACAGATATTATGTGTACATTAGGAGAAGTTCTGTAGCTGTAGAGTGCTGTCCCTGTAATATCTCCCCCCACAGTCCCCTCTCCCTCCCCCTTGCAGCAGCCCCAGCAGCCTCGGGGCATTTGGGGAGGGCCGGCTCATTACCAGGAGGGGCCACAGGACAACACCTGAGCTCCAATCAAGGTGTAAGGAAGTGATCTCCACCTGGGGAGGGCAGAGAAGGAGCTGACTGACAAAACTTTGGGAGGGGCTGAGGGTATAAAAGGCAGAGCATCCATTTTGTAAATGAACAAGTGGCTGACACTCACGGAGGCTCCCCAGAGCTGTAATTTTTCCTTATTCAGTCTGTTGTATTGTTTTTAAGGTTAAAAAAACCTTTAAGATTTTAAAAGTGAGGGTGATGTCTTACATCTTCTAAGGACAGGCCAGAAGTCTCACCTTCAGGCCAGTTTGTGATGATTTCCAGGAGCCCAGGGGTGAATTGGATTTCCCACTTGAGCTTAATAAATAACAAATATAGTTATTGGCTTCTGCGTTTATGTACTCACCTTTGTTTTGCAAGTTATTATTGATCACAAAAATCCTGATATAGTGCAATTAGTAATTACTGCTTTTGATACACTATAACCTGTCAGTTTATCTATGCACCCTATAGCTTTTATAAATACTGGTGTAATAGACACTATCTTAGACCATAGCATAATAGAGACTGTGTAATGTTGGAATGATTGTTTCACGTAAATAACTCACAAAATGGTGTAAAATAATTAGGTGATTTCCCACATTCAAGGACTTGCTTATCAGAAAGACAAGATAACAGAAACAGAGCATGGGAAAAAAAAAGACTTGATTGTCCGTCATTTTCAGGGAGTGAAAATACAAAATAATAGAATCACAAGAAACCATGGAATATACTAGTTTAAGGTACAAAATCGCTTGAAGACAAGACAAAAGTTAAAAAAAACCAAAACAGTACAAAAATTGAAAGTTAGCTTTGAATTCTTAAAAACTTGTATAAATATGCATGTAGCTCTAATATGTAACAGTATATAGAAAACATAGTTTGTCTATGCAAGCAGAAGCATCCCAGGGCAGGACTTTAACCCTTAATTAACTTTCATAAAAAGTGTAAATAGTGACTCATGTTTCCCACATATAATGAGGGCAATGCACTCCCTGCAGGCAGCAGCGGTGGCAGGATGGATTGCAGAGACTTTTCCTTTGCAGCCCCAGCCCAGCGTTGGCACTGGGCATGAAGAGGCACTGAGGTGACCCTGAGAGGAAGGGCAAGGCACAGGCTGCAGCTGAGGAAGGACAGCGCTGTGCTGGGCTCAGAGGTGAAGCTGGCACTGCCCAGTGTGGAGAAGGTCCTTTCTGCAGCCCCTGTTACAGGGGAGCTGGGGCCTTGCTGCAGAGATACGGCCGCTCATTGGAGCAGTTGTCACTCCTCAATCTCTCATCAGCCAGGTACACACAGGAGGAATTGTCAAAGACAGGAACCCTGCAGGGAGGAGCAGAGCCAGTGCTGGCTGCCTGGTGCCTTAGGTTGGAAATAGGGGTATTTTATTCCCATCTGTTAGAGGAGGAGCAGTTATCTTCTGTTAACTGGGCAGTTTTCTTTATCTCCTCCACAATCAATCCTCCCTCCAGGACATATATTCTGTTAATGGGCAAGTGAATGTCGCTGCATGGCTGATAAAATTCCATCACCCCATTCCATGGGGAGATGCTCCGCCCAGGAGGAGGAGCCAAGCATTCCTACCTGGACAGAATCGGAGGTTTGGAACACCACAGCAGCCTTTGCCCACTGCATTCCCAGAGGAGCAGCTGTCTTCACTGGATTCCCCTAGGAAGACCAGGCCCATCTACACCATGACTGGACCTTCTGAGGAAAACTTCAGCCTTCTACAGGATCACTGATCCAACACAAGCACACCTGTAAGTGCAGGAGGGCTGCAACCACCATTGAATGGGACTGGTGCCAACACCCTGAAACACAGGGTGCCAGGTAATATTTTCACCTGGCCTGTAGGAGTTTTTTTGTTCCAATGATTACATTTTTATTTTTAGTCCTCCTAGTCAAGAAGTCTTATTCCTACTCTCATATCTTTGCTGGAGAGCCTTTTAATTTCAAAATTATAATAATTCAGAGGGAGGGGGAATTGCATTTTCCATTTAAGCAAAGGCTCCTGCCTTTCTTAACAGACATCTGTCTTGGCAAACCAAGATACCAGGGGCAGCCCTTGTGCCCCTGTGCCCCCAGGCCCTGCCCGGCTCCCCGGCACTCACCGGGAGCTGTAGCTGCTGCCGTCCCCCCAGTGCAGGCGCTCGCCCCGTCTGCGCAGCCCGAGCCAGAAATCAACGTTCCCACGGAGGCGGAAGAGCAAATCCTGCCCAGGAGAGAGGAGTGGGAGCTGCCCCGGCCCCTTGCGGGGACACGGGCCCGGGGCTCCCCCCGCACGCCGGGGCTCCTTCCCTGCAAGGCCCCGGCCCAGGGCTGCGGCCCCGGCCCTACGAGCACCGAGCCCGGCCCAGGAGCACCCCCAGGCTGCCCTCAGCCACCCCACACCGCCCGCAGCCCCTCACTCACCATGGCCTCCTCATCCTTGGCAATGGCCAGGGAGGCCCCGAGCTCGGAGCACTGTTCCTGACCCTGCTCCCAGGTGCTGCAATCCCGTGAGAAGTAGTAGCAGACCCCCTTGTAGCCAACCCAGTCATGGGGACAGCACAGAACACACTGTGAGGGGGCAGCTGTGACTGGAAACTGTGGTGCTGCAGGGGGAAGAGGAGAAGGTCTGAGGATTGCCCTGTGCAGGGAGCAGGGAGCCCACTCTGCCCCGAGGGGCTGGGCCCAGGCTGCTGCCCCTCCCTTACCTGCCAGCACAGCCAAGGCCACCCCCAAAGCCAGCACCAGCACCAGGAGCAGCAGAATCAGCACCGCCGTGCCCACGGGATGGCCCCTGAACCATTCACCTGGAGCAGGAAAGAGCTGCTGGCTGCCAGAAGCAGAGCCGGGCCTGCAATCTGCTCAGCCCATGGCCAGGGAGCAGAGCAGGGAGCCCTGAGCCAGTGTGGGCCTCACTCAGCTGGCAGCCAGAGAGCCAAGAGCCTGGCCACAGGCAGGGACACAGCTGTGGCCACAGCCAGGGACACAGCAGTGGGCCCAGGCTGCAGCAGGAGAACTGCACAGCCTTGGGGGCAGCTGGGGCTCTTGCTTCCAGCCACTGATGGGGCCCAGCAGAGCACCAGGCCTCTGCCAGACATCGGGAAACAGCCACACACCTGCCAGCCCTGCCCTTGGGAGGGGACACTGTCCCCACCCTAAAGGCCACAGGGGTGGCCCTGCACTCACCCAGGAATCTTCTATGTCTACTCCCTGTTGCTGATCGCTCCTGTAGGCGCTCATTTGCAGCTCCAGGAACGGAGCAGGGTTCACGCTCCTCCTGCTCACAGCCGGAATCTCTCTGCCCAGAGCAAACAGCACCTTCCTCCTGACACATCAGGAGTGCGGGCAGATCCTTTGGGAGCTCGGCCTCGGGAACAGCTTCACAGCCGCGCTGATGGCACCCTGAAAGGGACACGGGGAGAGGTCACTGCTGGTGCCGGCGCTGGGGGCTCAGGAGGGCGGTGGCAGCTGTGGCTGCGCTGTCCCCGCTGCCCAGAGGTGCGGCAGCAGCTGCGGAGACAAGCGCAGCCTCCGGGAGCTCTCGGTGCCCGCAGCCCCGGCCCCTGTGGCTCTGCAGCCGCTGCAGCCCAGCTCCGTGCCGGGCCGGGCGCTGACAGCGCCTGCGAGCTGCCGCCTGCTGCTGGCCCGGGGCAGCTGCGGCTCGGAGCCCGGCCCTGCCGAGGGGCAAGAAGCAGCAGCCCCGGGCTGCTCACCATTGTGCCCCGCATTCCCTGCCCCGGCGCCTTGGAGCCCGGGCACACCGAGCGCCGGCACGGCCGCTGCGGCTCCCTGCTTGTGGACACGGAGCGGGTCCCGGTACCGAGGGCAGCGCCGAGCAGCCTCGGCCCCGGAGCAGGCAGGATGCGGCGCTTTGTGCCCGCACTCGGCGCCTGCAGCGCTTTGGGCTCTGAGGCCCGTTCAAGTTCATCCCGTGCCAGCCCCGAGCCGGGCACGGACACCTCCCCCCCGAGCAGCGTCCCCGAGCCCGGAGCCGCACGGGCAGGAACGGCCCCGGGCACGGAGCAGCCGCCTCCGTGCCACCGAGAGCAGCCGGGATGAGCCAGCGCTGCCGCGGCACCGGCTCCATGCCGGCCATCCGGGCAAGGAGGAGAGCGCGGGCAGCCGCTCCCTCGGCGATCCCAGCGCAGGGGGGACACGGGGGAAGCCCGGCCCTCAGTGCGGCCCCTCCGCCCGCAGCGAGCCCCGAGCTGGGGCAGCACCGACCGCGGGTCCCACCTGGCCTGGAGCCGCCTCCGGGCTCCTCCGCCGCCTCGCCGGGCTCCGGGTGCCGCCGCGGCCGCTGTAGAGTGACCTGAACGCGGCGGAGTGGCGCGTGGACACCGCCCTGTTCTCCGCCCGATTCACCGGGCCCGGCCCCTTTCACCCTTTTCAAAGCCGCCAATCGCAGCGAGGAGAGGGGCGGAGCGAGCGGGGCGATCAGGTGGGATGAGCTGTGCCCGGTCGGTCCTGTCTGTAGAACACCGCGGTACGGAAAAGCCCACACGCAGGAGGAGCCGGAGAAGAAGCGCAGGCCCGGGGAAGCCGCTCCTGGGGCTCTCAACAGGGAATTCCCGCAGGGATCCTTGGGCTGGGCTGGGTCAGTCCAGGTGCCCGGGGCCAGCAAAAGCGCTCAGTGCCTCTGCTCCTGGCCCTGGGCAGGCAACAGAACACAGCAGGAAAGGGTCGGGGCTCTCAATAAGGGCAGCCAGAGATCTCTCACCCATCATGGGTGTGAAAAATGCATGTATTTTATGATTGGCTTTTCGCAAGTATTAAAATGAATATTATATGTGTTGTGTTAGACAGTAATGCTGTATTAGTTTTCTTAAGTACTGTGTTAAATATAGTTTTAGGTTATGAAAATTATTAAAACAGAAACGATGCTCTGTAGGATACTCTTTTTAAAAAGAAAGGACTCGCAGCGAGATAGCGGCCACAGGGCATCGAAATCTTTCAGAGAAGAAGAATTTATGGCCCTCTTATCTTATCTTCCTCTTATCAGAAGAAATGAACTTCTTCCTGCCTCGAAGGCGCTGTTAGGATTTGGAGGAAGGAGTTGACGATGACCAGACAGAATCCTGTGTTTGAATGGAATTTATGCATCATGCATGAGGTACATGAATATGCAACGGGCTGTTGGTTTTAAGGTGCTATTACCAGTACTGGTATTATAATGATTAATATGTGGAAATTCAATTTGTAAAGTTTTTTTAGGTAGGGTGTAAAGGTTGTGCTTTATCTTAAAATAATTTTAAAAGTAGGATTTAATGTTTGTTTTAATTTGGTTTGTTAATTTTTTTCGTTTTTGGAGTTGCGGATCGATTTTCAACAAGTTTATGAAATATAATTTTAAATTTTTTTTCTTATTAATTTGATGTGCTAGTAAGAGAAAACTGATGGTGGTTTTGCTTTGTAAGGCTGTATGTTTAATAGTACTAATATTTGTTATTATATTGTTATAAATGAAGTAGTATTGATTTTTTTGTCTAATTAATACTCTGTTTGGTTTAATTGTTTTAATGTTATAGTAAAGGTGAGTTGAGGTAAAAACAAATTTAACATAACTCGTTTTGTAGGGTTTAAAATTGTTATTGCAGGTTTTTTTAGTAATGATGGGTTGACGTTTTTATGGTTTAAATTTTTTTAAATATTAGGTGTTATTATAGTGAGTTGTTTGATGTTATGTGGGCTATTTTTAATTTTTGAGGGAACGTTTTGCTAGGTTGTATTTTTATCCATGAGTTAGTTTTTTTGGTTTTTTTTTTGCAATTTCTATGGGAATTTGTTAAGATTAATAGTTTTATTTTTAGGGGGCCGAGGAGTGCTATAATTGTACTAAAAACTTGAGGTTTTCTATATAGGATGATGAGGAGTAATATTAACTGTAGATTTCTTTGATACTGAAGCTTAGTACAAAATCTGATTGTTAAAGAATTCAGAGTGTTTAATTGTTGAGGTTTAAAGGGTGTTTTAAGAAGATTGGGGGTTCAGTGATATAATTGGGTACAGGATTTGTTTGGTTGGTGACTGTACCCTCAGAGCTGTCAGGGTTTGGAGTTGGTTATTTTTGGGTTGGTATCAGTGTAGTGATTAAATAGGTTGTAAAGGGTTTGTTTGGGCTGAAATGGGTTAAATATTTGGTGTTTGAACTTGTTGACTCAGAGTAACTTAAACATTTGGTTTTGGTTGATTTATAGGTATCTTTGTGTTGTAAAAATAAGTAAAACTAATAACTGTTACTATATTTTTTTTATTTACCTTTATGTTCTTGTTTAGTTACTCTTGGTAAAAGGTTTTTTTATGTATTTTAATGTGACCGTGTTCACAGGGGTCTTATGTTGAGGGAAGAGAAACATGGATCTGACTCCATGTTTCAGAAGGCTGATTTATTATTTCATGATCTATATTACATTAAAGCTATACTAAAAGAATAGAAGAAAAGGTTTCATCAGAAGGCTGGCTAAGAATAGAAAAGGAAGAAATGATAACAAAGGCTCTGTCTTGGACTCTCTGTCTGAGCCAGCTGGGCTGTGATTGGCCATTAATTAGAAACAACCCCATGAGCCAATCCCAGCTGCACCTGTTGCATTCCACAGCAGCAGATAACCATTGGTTACATTTTGTTCCTGAGGCCTCTCAGCTTCTCAGGAGGAATAATCCTAAGGAAAGGATTTTTCATAAAAGATGTCTGCGACATTTTAATTTTTTAATAAATTTATTGGAGTATTTAGTTTTTGTGGTTTTTCAAATTTTTTCAGTACTGGTTAATTCTAAGGCACTAAATTGTTTTGTTTATACTTTGTTTTGTAAAGTTGGATATTTAGGGATGTTTTTTTAACATGATGGATACTATGCCTTTGCTAAAAGAGCTCTGTGATATGAAGGATTTTTCTAGTTTTACCATTGATATAAAAGTTGAGGTTTGCAGTTTGTGCAGGTTGGGGAGGGGATGCTGGGTGGGAACTGTAGTTTTTCTGTGTGCCTTACATCTGTGTGGTTGTGGTTTTGTTTGTGGAATTGTTAGTGTGGTTTTATGTGTGATATGGTTTTATGTTTTTGTTGGAATCTACTTAGGTTTAGTATTTGTGGAAATATAAGTAAATTTCTTGTCTTGGGTTATTAAATGAAATGGATTTTTAATTTGTCTTGTCTCAGTTTTAAATTAAAACTGGAAGAGAAGTTGTAAATTTTGTAAGGTCTTGGCACTGGTTGGGAGCTGTACTTTCTGTGGCTTGATTGTTTTGTTATCTTCTATCTTAAATATTTTTAAGGTGGGATTTCTTGCATTTTTGATGAAGAACTTTTTAATTTCTGTGATGTAGAACTTTTTAATTTAGTGTTTTGAATGTCTGTGATGACGTTGTTTTGAATCTGTTTTATTTCTTTTTGAGTTGGTAATGACTAAATTGTCTATGTAATGTAAAATGAGTAAATTGTCTATGTAATGTAAAGTTCTTGACTGTGGCTGGTTTTGTTGTGGTGGAGATAAAGCACCTGTTATAAAATATTGACAAATAGTAGGTGATTTTTTATTTTTTGCAGTAAAACAGACTAGTGATGTTTTTGTAATTTTTTTAAATAGATGGCTGGAACAGAAAAGGCAAAAGGAGGGGTATTTTTGGATGTAGTGCAATGTTGAAAATACAGTCTCAACTTGGTGACAATAAGAGGCCAGTTTCTTGGAATTATTGAAAGGAAAGGAAGTCTAGGTTGCAGGGGTCTCAGTTTTCTATTATTTTGTTGATTTTTTTAAGGTTGTGGAGTAATTTCTAGGAGTCAGACATTTTCTTGTGAATAAGAAACTCTGGGGAATCCTAAGGGCTCCTTGGGTTTGATGTGATTTTTTGGTAATTGTTAATTTATTAATTTTTGATGGCATTTAGTTTTTCCCCGTTGGAGGCTCCTGACTCCCTTGGACGGGGTTGTTCGTTTGCGATGATAACTTTGGAGCGGTCGGTGCTGCTGGGGCTCTCATTAGAAACTCCCTTCTGTTTCTGCTCCTCACTGGCCAGCGAGGCTTCCTTCTCTGCCGGGCTGGGGCTGTGCCCAGAGGGCCCGGACGATGCTCGGCTCATCCTCGGCACCGGGGCAGTCCCCACGAGCTCACTGTGCGCACACGGCGGGGCTGCTGTGACTCCTGTGGGAGCCCCACGGCGCTGCCGGGGCTCGGGGGCCGGGCTGCAGCACAGGAGGAATCGCAGCGCCCTCCGTGCCCGTGGCCAGCACGGCTGGGACATTCCCTGCTCCACTGCCCTGCTCACACTGCAAGGGGGCTCTGGCTCTGCACTGGGGACACCTCCCACCCAGAGGCCACCGGGTGTGGGCTAAAGCTCTCGGTGCCATGCCTTGGTACACGGTTTGCTTCGTTAAAAGCACAGGCTCTCCGTGGATGTCTTGCTTAGCTACAGTCACTGGCAATGCAGCAGTAATGGCTCTTAGTGGTTTGGGCTGAATTGCTGCTGGAGTGCTGCAAGCAAGAGCTGAAGCTGTCAGCTCTTGGTTACAATGTACTGAAATAATAGGGTTGGGAAAACTGTTGGGAAAACTGTTGGGAAAACTGAAAATCTAAGAATGATGGTTTTTTCTCTGCTTAGCATGAAAATGTCCTGTCCCTGTTGTGAAGTACTAGTGACCCCGGTGGGCAGAAACTGATGACAAAAGTTTGTTTAGAGGTATGGTAATGTAGCAGCTGTTAGTTTGCATTGTGCCCTGGGGGGTAATAATTCGGGGTTGCTTGGGAGATTTCTGGTGATT